GGCTGCACTAGGCCTGGGAGCTGCCTGAGCCTGCACAGCAACGGTAACGAGGATGGCGTGGGGGTCGTTACCGCGCCCGTTGCTGCTGCTGCTGCTGGTGCAAAGGAGAGAGAGGAAAAGAAAACAAAAGAGAGAGAAGCAAAACCAAGTAAAAGGAGCTGAGCTGAAAGCAGCCTTGGCTGAGACCAGCACAGGCCGTGACTTTGCCACCAGACCCGCGTCCAGTGAGGAAAAAACACAACTCGCCTCACGCCCCGGCTCCGGGAGGACGTGAGCACAACAGCACCATCCAAACCTTTCACCTCTAACGCCTTCTCCCCTCACTCACATGCACCACACACACTTTCAAAACTGTGTGTGTGTCCGTGCCCCAAGCTAGGCACGGACCCACTGAAATAATTAAAAGACTCTTCTGAATATATAATTTGGTGTCCGAAAATCCTGATAAACAAACACGGCGATTGTGCCCTGAGATAAGGCAGCTTCGACCCAAAACCAGGTTCAGACCGCGACAGGTGCATTTGTGATCTTTTAATGTACAAATTCATAGCTGAAAAGAGTTTACAATCTATCTTTCTCCCCACTGTAGCCTATTGTTGTATTGGCTTTTTTTATTTTTCATTTCAGTCATTTTACTTAATGCTAATTAGTCTAACTAGTTGAGAACATCCTAAAGGCTGAGGCAGATACATAACTATAAATTTCTGTGAAGCAATACTGAAGAACCTGCAGTTCACACTGGTGGTACCTAGGAGGAAAAGACTAGAAAGCCAAAGAATTTTGTTCAGCATGTAAAGCACTGGCTATATACCGTGACACCCGTATCAAGTGCTTTGTAAATAGGATTACAGAGGTGATCGGAATGATTACGACTTCGCAAATATTTCTAAAAAACTTATTGATATAAGGAGGTCAGAAACATAATGGAGCAGTTTGTATCAAATATCATGCATTGGAATAGTCTCTGTATAAGAATACTAAGTGCATGCATCATCAAACATATGCAAGTGTTTGCAGGACTGGCAGCTCTAAAAAGAAATAAATATATATCTTTCTCAGGTTTTAATAATTCCTCTTCCCCCATTACGTAAATCAGAAATTCCCTTCTTTGTAATACTCATGCTCTGAACCTGTACTCTATAATGAACTGTCCCATCATGTGCTGTCATAGCAAGAGCTGTCAGATCATCACAGTCTTTCACTTCCTCACTAGAAAGTAAAATTGTTTTTTCCTTCCTTTTCCAGACCTCAAAGAACTTGGTGTATGAAAAAGTGAGTGTTAAATCTTTTCCCTCATAGAGTGGGGCAGAACTAGAATGTATCTTATGTGTGTGATTACATTCATGGGTGGGCGAACAAATTACACTGCTTGTGAGTCTGCTTTTTGACTTAAGTGTTCATAGGAAGAGAGAGAGAAGATACACATACAAGAATACGTGGCCTGCATGTACATCCTGAACTAAGACCAAAATAGCAGCTGAGAAACAGGAACCACTACAACAGTCCGAGGTACACAGGCTTGAGGTCGAAACTACCCAACCCCACTGGGAAGTGCATGTGAAAGTATGTAAGCAATGGCAGCATATGTGAACAGTAAACATAGAACTCAAAATACACCTTAATTTTAAGAAAAAAACAACAAACAAAAACAGGAGGAAGAGTAATGAGAAATCATAACTGAATATAATATGAATTGTTTTACAAGAAAGAAATGTAATCCAGTTACTCAGTGTTCAGAAATTTTTCTGTCTTTTGAGTGTGATATCTTAAGTCACAGTGGACTACTCTGAACTAAAAAAACACTATCCAGACACTGTAAGTATGTAGGCACTAATGAACTTCCCAAAGACCACAGTTTTGTCTCATCCATCATAAATAATCTATTACAAAGCTAAGCTTGCAAACATATTCAAGTATCAACAATATCTAATGGAGCTCAGCTGAAGAAGTTTCTCTTACTTAGGATATTAGAACTTAAAGCAAAAGCATTAGCTCTTCATATATGATTCTGTTTGTCACTTGAAAGTGGTTATGAAACTAAGTCAGCTTAAAATCACATGTGAAAACAGAGAATGAAATTAAGAACAATGCCTTGTCTGAGCATGCCTTCATAAACAACCTTCAAAAAGGAAAATAAGTAGAATTAACCCAACAGAAATAATGAATGAGAAAATGCACCCACAAGACACTCCTCTCCTTCCTTGGAAACAAACATGAACTCCTTTCTTGCTTAAAAGATGATCTTGCTACCCTACAACTACAATAAACCACTGCCTAATCATTTTTCATAATTGACTCAATTTCTGATTTCAAGTGGACAGGTGCAGAGAGCTTGTGTAAAACAAACTAAGAAGACATAAAACATTGTGCAAGATGCTTCTTACTGGAAGTATGAAAGGAAGAGAATGTCAGTGACCCATGAAGCATTTGCTAGACTATATTTACCATCAACAAGAAGATGGGCAAAACCAATTTTATGCTCAGCACAGAACTATTTTTAAAGGATGTTATTTGCCAGGAAGAAGAGCAGTCTTTTAAGTCCCAAGTTCTTGCTTTTTTTTTTTTCTTTAGAAATACTATGGATATAATATATCCTCTTTCAGGATACGCACAGATATAAATATAGATATAGGTATTCAAGATTTCAAGGCGCTTTCTTAACACACATTTACAAATCTTCCTTTTTAAAAAAAGACCTAAATTTCCTGCTAGCATTTATATGCTTATTGCATCCTGAAAGTCTTTAAGAATTTACACAGATTACTATCTTAGTCAGGAAATCAAGTCTGTTAGGCAGCATTTGTTCAATAATCTGGGACATGTCTCTTCACAGTAGCTGAAACTCCAGAGCTGAGACTTCCCAAACTCTCAACATGCAGGAAGGCAAGTAGAAGTCAAGGAGATAAAACATCTGATTAGGCCCAAAATGGGAAAATAGACCAACTGACTGCATTTGTTAAAGATGCCATATGAAACCTTCGACAATCTATGAGGCCACCTTCAGTACTGTCCTGGTTTGGGACAACATGACAACAAAGGAACAGCCCCGTGGCCACTCACTCAACTCCCCCCCACACACACACTCTGGGATGAGAAGGACAAAGCTCATGGGTTGAGACAAAGGACAAGGAGGGTTCTTCACCGATTAAGGTCCCATGCAAAACTTGGGAAAAAATTAATAATTTCATTTCATGCTAATCAAACACACAGAGAACACAGACAACACAAAGAGCAGAGCTTGCACATGTTACCCCCACCCCTTCCTTCTCCCTAGACCCAAATCACTTTGTTCCCAGTTTCTCTCCCTCCTTCCCCCCAGCGGCACAGGGGGACAGGGGATGGGGTTTAGAGTCAGTTCACAGGCTGGTGGTTCCTGCTGCTCCTTCCTCCTCAGGAAGAAGGATTCCTTACAGTCCTTCCTGCTTCCCCACGAGGTCCCTCCCATGGCAGAGAGTCCTCCAAGAACTTCTCCTTCATGAGTCCTTCCCACGAGGTCCGGAGCTGCTCCAGCCTGGGCTTCCCACAGAGTCTGGGGCTGCTTCGGAAACAAACTCCCCTGGCACCGGGGTCTTCCAAAGCTGCACAGTCAGAGTCCACAGGCAGCAAATCCTCTGGGCACAACATCCAAGTCCACTGGCCAAGTTCACCCCTCCTGGTGCCTTCAGGGAATGTTTCACCACATTCCCCCATGAGTGCAGGGGCACAGCTGCTATCTCGCCATGGGTTGCAGAGAAACTTCTGCTTGGGCACCTTCTTCCCCTTCTTCCTCACCAACCACCAACACCGATCTCCTCCTCCAGGACAGCTCTTCTCCCCCTAAGTGCTTCTCTGCTCAGGTGTTATCTTAGTTCTTTCATATGTTAATCGCTGAGGCGCATCTATTGTCCCTCTAATGGCTCCTTGGCTGATTTTGGAGCAAAGGGAGCTTTTCAGCTTTTTACCAGAGCCACTCCTGGGGCCCTTCCCCCACTACCAAAAAACCCACCAAACCAAACCAGAACAAGTACATTAACAGTAAAACACGGTTTTAAATCTCAGATTGTTTAGTGCCTCTATAGTCAAGGTTTATCTTATATTTTTAGGCAGAGAACCACCAGAGCCAAAAAACTTAAGCTAGCAGACAAATTGAGATCAATTCACCCACCATGGAAACACAACTGTCTCATTTAAGAACCTGTATGATTACAAAATACCTGGACAAATGAAGCAGCAAACTATAGACCTACTCTAAAATGTCAAATAGTTTTTATATAAATTAAGTTTCTCATACAAATACTGCAATTCCCAAAACACAAGGCACAGAAGTGAAAAGGACACTGCCAGAATTATTTTAACTGTATCCTCTTAGACAAGCTGAAATAGCAACAAATTTAACATCTTACATAAATTATTGTTGGCTGAGCTTTGCAGCACGACTGGTGCTTCTTTGCTCAATTTCAAACTGCAAGAGACCTATTTTTTAATTATTTTTTTTTGCTTCCATTAAAAAAAAAAAGCACAAAATGGAGTGTTTCTGTGGCAAGTTTTGGATGAAGATTCCTAATAACAGAGGAATTGAAAAATGTAACTGCCAGATACAAAATGGCTCATGTAGCAAGATCTTCCAAAATGGAAGAGACGTAACTTTTATGCAAAGACCTTTTCTGGCGTTATGCACGTACATTTGTTAAGCACTAACTCAGTGGAGAGGAAAACATGTCATCTGCCAAGGCACAAATACCACTTCACACAGCACCTGTTCTCTAGAGCTGTGTTGAGCAAGACACCCAATCCAGTCCTGCCAAGTTTGGGAAATACCACAGGATGATGTAGTAGAGGGCTATGCCTTTACTCTGAGTAAGTATTCAAAAATTACCTGAGTCAAACAAATTCTGAGACAGCTTACTAGTTTTTACAAAACTACATGTAGTCATAAACTCCTGGTTGTTACTTCTGAATGACAGCTAGGAAACTTCTGGAAATTAATTACCAAATTATTACTGTAATTAAAAAAAAATAAAAATCCAGGTTCTAAACAGTAGATTTAGAAAAGAGGAGCCTTTATGCCTTTCACGATACTTTAAAACCTTAACCTTACTACTAAAAATACTGTAATACCATCAATTTAAAACCTGCACAAATGCCGGGTTCTCCATGAGCAGTCGAAGAGAATTGGTTCCATCTAGTGGCTGAACAGAGCTACAGACACTCAAGAGAACATTCATATTTCTTTACCTATTCCACGTTGGATACCCAACGAGAAGAACGATAGCAGCACCAGACACTGCAATTCACAGTGTCACTCCATTACAGAAAGTCTGACAGTACAGAGATGGTGCAAAACTGTTCTAAACACAAAATAAGCTAGAAAATGTCATGTTTTTTTATCACAGCATTTTAATGTCATACAAAAATCTTGCTAAGCAGCGAAGCTGAGGCTCTCCTTACAGAAATTTACTTGCTCAAATGTCTTTTATGTTTTGTACTCTACCAATTAGAGATGAGGTATTTGTCTGAGGCACTAGCAGCTCCCTCTGTAGTTTGGATTCTTACAGACTTTGGTGATAACTCAGGTTAAGTGCAGACGTGTTACTATCTCCATTTCATAGTGGAACAAGCTCTTACTGAGAAAGTAACTTAGCCTCCCATAGGGCAGGAAGTTTAACTCAGCTCCCCTGGATACCAATCTTTTGTCTAGAACACCAAATTATCTTTCCCATGCTGTGCCAAAATCGCACTTAAAAATACTGCACCCTCATTATTCTCCCCCTTCTGCTGCTGGACTGTCAGCCCTATTAAATCTGTGAAAACAAATGACAACGAACAATTTTGAACATGGAAAGAGCACTTTGACAACCCACCATACAACACCAAGATAAAAAAATGCTGTTTCACTTCAGCCTCGTGCACCCAATAGTTGCTTTAGTAAATAAATAAAAGAAAAGGCAGGACTTACCAGTGATTTGTGTTGTCATGGAAACAAGTAGCGAAAAATTCAAAGCTGCCATGGAAATATTAATAGAGTAATTTGTGCCTGGCTGCAATTCAAAACAAACTTCTGGAGCCTGCTTGCATGTGGTAAGGTTGAAGGTCATTTCGTGGAAGAACTCCTTCTGATACCAACGCTGGCCTTGCACATGAAACTGTAACCAAACAATCACAACATGCAAATTGCAATGTTTTAATATATCTCTTGCATTCAGTAATGTCATGCTCTAAAATAAAAGAAACAGAAGAACATATCATTGCATACAAAGTGCCAAAAATGTTGGCACTGACAGTTACTCAAATTCAAATGCTTCCAAAATTTGATAAGAACTGCAGTTCCTCTCGATCAGCTCTTGAACTGTCCTGGTTCTTTCACTTGCCTCCTCCTAATCTATCTTCTTTTTTATTAATACCGTTATTTTCCCCAAGTCTTGATTACCTGCTAATACACAGGCTTCCAGTAAAAGCACACATTCATTGCAGCATAATCTCATGGTGCAAACTGATGAGTTATAAAAGTAAGCTCACATGAACACCTCTCTGGTTTAACTCCAAGGATCAATTCATCTTGATCTCTGTCAAAATGCCAAGTACTGTCCCAGGATCTGCCTATAGACAGCTATGATTCCAGGCAAATGTACAGACCCGTGTTTTTTTTGTTTCAGTTGGATTTTGTGTGTTTTGTTACTGATGTCCCAAATTATCATGAAGTTATTAACTTAAGGCCTCTCCTGGTCATTCCTCTGTTAATGAAAACTAAAAAGCTTGCTGTATTTTAATCATGTGCTAATTTTCATTTAAATATATCATATGCCTATAATCTCTGAGCACCTCTCAGCACACAGAGATTTGAGACAGCAGCAGGTGGTCAACAGTCCTGGCAGAGACAGTTCATGTCGAAATGCCCTGCTGGGACAAGGGAGCGTTGGCATGGAGGTGTATTATGAGGCCGAGTGGACTGACTCTGAGGAACTGGAACAAAGTTGTCCAATCTGAACATTACAAAACTGAATGTTCAGATAGTGAAGGCAAACCAGAGTCAAGCAGGGGAAAAACTAAGCAGTAAACAGGAGATTACAAAAGAGTGTGGTGGTTTCTTCCTTTTTTGAAGGTTCCTATGCAAGCTTAATTACTGGTTTTCATGAGAGACATTATTAAAATGACGAACAGTGCCAGAAGTGAGAGTGTTTGAAAAATTACAGTTTTTTTTCACACAGGTGATTTCTAGATTCAAAATACAGATTGTCACTTACCAAGTATTTGTCTTCCACATCAGTTCCCCTGACATTTCTCCTCCATTTCAAGCAGGTATCATTAAAAATTAATACATTATTGAAAGGTTCCTTTACTGTAGAGACAATAAAAAAATAGAACAACTTATTACAAAATCTTCACACTTTTCAACTTCATTGAATACAAGTAGTTGAAAATTTTAAAAAACATTTTTATTTTAATTATCTTCTGAGAAGGACATGGAATCTAATTTCTTTTAAAATGACAAATACAGGAAATAAAGCATGAACATTTTCCAGAGAAAACAGTTTTTTGAAAAGCCCAAGCACATTATTCAGGAAATCAAGATTGGATTTATTTGTCCAGGCCTAGGGAGGTTATAATAACAGAACGATTCAAGGGTTCAGAACTTCTGATGGAAATAAAGTTACAATAGAACAATTTCTCACAGTTGATGCCCTTTAGCAAAAAGCACATGAAAAAAACGCGTTTTTGTGGACTCCAAAGGATTTCTCATGATCTGTTTCATCAGAACTAGTGTGTCAGAAGGCTTAAAGTTTCCATGACCAAAATAATACAGAAACCTGCTGTTGGAACATGCCTTCTCTTACTGAAGAACTGCCAGAACACTGCTCATCACTGCTAAACATAGGAACATTATCTGTAATGCTCACATCACTTAGATTAGTACCACCCAGCTCATCAACAGGGAATTCTCCCACAGGCAGATAATGTTTTCAAGGCAAGGAATGGAAACCAGTAACCAGTAATATGAACTGAAATTCCAGTATG